AAATTAAAGAAAAAGCCATCAAAGCAAAAAATACATTACATTAGGACAGTTAAGAATTAGAATCAATGTCTCATCAGAAACCATGGAAGCAAAAGACAATGGAATGACATTTCAAAGTGCTGAAAGAAAAATGTAGATTTCTTTATTCAGTAAAAATATTTTGCCCAGGTGTGATGGTGCATGCCTGTAATCCCAGCTACTTGGGAGTATGAAGCAGGAGGATTTTGAGTTCAAGGCCAGCCTAGGCAATTTAGCGAGACCCTGTCTCAAAAACAAAAACAAAAAAAAGAAAGAAGAGTTGGAGATATACTTTAGTATTTCCTAGATTCAATTCCTAGCACCAGGGTAAAAAAAAGGCAATGATAGGGATTTAATAGATACAGAATAAGTAAAACAACAATACAAAAGGTAATAGAAGAGTAAAAGAAACCACTTATAAGAGTGCTTTAGTAAAGTTTACACTGACTGAAATGATGTATGAATTCAAAGTAGGATGAGGACTTGCAACCTGTAATCCTAGCACTCAGAAGGCTGAGGTAGGAGGATCACCTCGAGTATGAGGCCAGACTGGACTACACAGTGAGTTCAAGGACAGCCTAAATTACATAGGGAGACCCTGTCTCAAAAACAAAAATAAAAAAACAAAATAAGATGCATGCTGTCCTCTTAGGAGTAGGACACTGTAACTGCTAAAAAGCATAAAAACAGAAATACAGGAAGAAGGTGACTGGGTATGGTTTGTCCCCCAAATGTTTCTGTACTGGACACTTAATCCTCAATTTGAGTTCTGAGAGGTATGGGACCTCCAACAGGAGGCATCTAGCGGCAGGCAACAGTGTCCTAACTGCACTTGTAGAAGAATTAACTCTGGTTAATTCTAGGTCTAACAGGGTAGACTCATTTCTGTGAAATCAGGTTGCGATATACACATATCCTGACCTCCCCGACCTCCATCCTTTCTTCCTCTCTTGCCACTTGACCTCTCTTTCTCCCACCTGCTATCCTCACCAAGAGCCAAGCAGATGTTGGCTCCATGTTCTTGGTCTTTCAGAATGGCAAACTAAATAAACCTGCTTTCTTTACAAATGACTCAGTCTTAGGTATTCTGTTATAGACACACAAAATGGACTAAGACAAAGGCCAACACAGGAAAAAAAAAATAGAATACTATAAAAACATTCAATCTGAAAAAGAGGAACAAAAGAATAAAATCAGCCAGGTGTGGTGGCTCAGGCCTGTAATCCCAGCATAAGGGAGGGTGAGGCTGGAGGACTGCCACAAATTTGAGGCCAGCCAGATCTAGCTTGCCACCAGTTTTTGTATGACCATGGATAAAGTACTGGAACATGGCCATGATCATTTGTTTGTACATCATCTATGTCTGTTTTTGTGCTACAGTGACACAGTAACTATGACATATAGGTCCATAAACCCTAAAATACTATCTTTCTCTTTACAAAAAGTTTGTTGACTCTTGATATTGATGTACAAACCTCATCAGTTTATGGGCCAGGGATTTAGCTCAGTGGTTTTGCCGCCCGCTGCGTAAGCGCAAGGACCTGAGTTCGATCCCCGGTACCAAAAAAAAAAAACCCTCATCAGTTTAGTTAATCACAAAGTTAATATAAAGCAACAATGTACTATTATCTGCCCTCAAAGGTAAAGGCAAGCTAATTTAGATTATACTGAGTTGGGCTGGAAGTGTAGCTCAGTGGTAGAGGCAGAGGTCCTGGTTTGATTCCTATCACCAAAAACAAAACAAAAACCAAAAGAAAGACTTACAGGAAATAAGGAAATACTACATTCCATCAAAATTTCTGAACACTAAGGCCCTTGTGACTTAAGGGCCAGGCACTGAGCTAGATGAATTGCAAGATGAATGCAATTTGAGCGACTGAGACCTGGTTCTTGTCTTCAAACTGAGTCAGGGAAGATGGACAAATATGCAATTAATAATGCAACATGGTGTGTGCTAATGTGCTGTGATCCACATCCAAAATACTGTGTTCAATTCTGGGTAAATAACTCACTTTTTTTTTTTTTAACAAGACTCTTGCTAAATTTTCCAGGCTGGCCTTGAACTCCTAATCCTCCTGCCTCAGCTTCCCAAGTAGCTGAGATGACAGGGGTGTGCCACCCCATCCAGTCAGGGTATGATATTTTAAGTAGAACATTCTTAGGCTTGATATTGTTCAGAGGAGAGTATAAAAAGCTCATGGGTGTGTCTGTGTGTGTGTGTGTGTGTGGAGAGATAAGTTTATCATGCCAGAGGCCTTGAGTTTAATCCCCAACAACAAAATAAACAACTCCTCCAAAAAAAAGTTCACCATGCTCTACAAATCGAGTTACAGAAAAGCTGAAAGAACAGTGGCTATTATTAAGAGATAATTTGGAGCTGGGCACAGTGGTGCATACTCTCTGGGAAGCTGAGGCAGGAGGATGGAAGCTGAGGCCCAGCCTAGGCAATGAAGTAGTAACATGACAAGACCCTGTGTCAGAATTAAAAAATAAAGTGACTGGTGACGTAGCTCTGTAAGGCTCTGGGTTGACTCTCATAGTGAAGAGAGAGAGACAAGAGACAGAGGACAGACAGACAGACTAGGATTGAGGTTGAGAGACTATTTGGTGGTACAGTGGTACACTGATTCACAAACTTAGTTCTTTTCATGATTCTGGTCACAAACCGAATTGGACGAGAACCAAATCTAATTTCCCCATAAAGTCAATATTGAACCTAAACACTGAACGTGATTTGGTTTTTGACCAGAATCGTGGAAAGACTTAAATTTATAAACCGAGGTACCACTTATATACAGTATTTGGATTTTTTTTTTTTTGAGACAGGGTCTCACTATGAGTCCAGGCTGGCCTTAAACTCGTAAGTGTTCTCCTGCCTCAGCCTCCTAAGTGCTGGGATAACAGGTGTGCGCCACCACACCCAGCAATTTTTTTCAGGCTTGGGAGGTAGCTCAGTGGTAGAACATTTGTGTAGTGTGCAGGAGACGTTCAGTCTGGTACCCAGCCCCCAAAATAATACTTTTTGCTTTACAGCACCGAGAGAGTAAATTGGATTTAATATATATGAATTTTAAGCAGAAAGATATCATAAAGGTAAGAGCTTTCAAGCAAAGTAACAATTTTAAACCTTTTCCATTCCTGAAAGTGTCCAAGACTGGGTGATAATCTATGGAAAAGATCAAAGAAATGATTCCTACATTGGAGGTAGGAAAGGTAGGTGGGGGACAGATAATGAAGGACCTTAAAAGCCAAGTTAAAGCTGGGAGCAGTGGCACGCAGCAGTGGTGTCCCAGCTACTTGGGAGGCTGAGGCAGGAGCACTGCTTGAGCCCAGGTGTTCTAAGCAAGCCTGAGACTCTTCAAAAATAAAGGGGGAGAAAGGGAGAGAGGGAGAAATGGAAAAAGGGAGACGGGGGAAAAAGAGAAAGTGGATTTTATTTACTCTGTAGTTCAGTGGTTCTCTTAATTGGCCTGCAGCAACTTTGCCCCACAGGTGACATCTGAGGATAACTGAACAGCTTCTGCTGTCAAAAGGGTACAAGGCAGAAGGGTGCTAAATACAGCAAGCACAGGACAGCCCCACCCCCAGACAATTATCTGGTCCCAAGTGTTAATAGTGGAAAGGTGGGGAAACCCTGCAGGAATGCATTTGAGGGTAGCAACGTGGGGGCTGGAAATTCAAGGAGAGAAATTTTTAAGTTACAGAGCTCCCTTAGGCCACACATGTACCAAAGCTGGACTGATAGAGTTGATGCTTGGCCTTGGTGCAAGGATGACATGCAAATTTGTGAAGTGTGAAACATTGTACATTATTGTGTACTGAATTGACATGAGTGCCTCAAAACAGGCAAATATTGTAAAGTGTACATGTATTCTTGATTTCTCACGTGGGCAGAAATGTCCAAGGAGAATTAAATATAACACATTAAAAAGAGTTACATTTTAGGGAAATGTATCAAGTATCGATGTACAGAAAATAGGATAGTGTACTCTTTAAAAGTTCAGTTCTTGCTTATTTTGAAGTTGTCTGAGGGAGGCAAACAAGTTGTCTGTTGAAGCAAAGAAGTGTTTTGACACACAACTCATTTCCTATATCCCACATCCACCAATATTCTTCCTATTCCCTGTGTTGTGTAGAATTACTTAAACAAGAAAGGGCAAAGGCTGCGGTTCTCTTGAAGGTTCTTTTGCAGCACTTAATGATGAAAGAGGTAAAACAACACCAAAGGGAGCCACAGAATAGTTCCAAGGTGCGGTTTTGGGGTGTCCTCTAATCCTGAGATACCTTGCTCTAAATAAGCATGCAACCTTCAGGGCCTCAGTTTACCAAAGGCAGTACACTTTATGTTGCCATCCTTCCCATTTTTTGACAGTTGCTGACCTTGGGTTTCCCTATGCCGCATCCCTAACCAGGGCCACTGGTTTCCTCTCCAGTTCACAGATCCTCTCCAATCCCCTTTGGACCAAGTCCCCCACTGACTTCTCCTTGGCCAGCCCCGGGGTCCCGGCGCTCTTACAGCTGGACTCCTAACAGCCTTTCCTGCATCCTCTGCTGGAAACTCTGGGGTTCCCAGTCCCGTCACCACCCCCCACCCCACCCCCGCGCCAGGCCTGCACTGGAAAGGCAGGGCGCCAAACACCGACCTCCACCCAGGCCCTTTGCAGCTGCAGCCCCTATGGAGCCTCGCACGCTGGCCCCTAACGATACGAAACTTATAAATACACCAGGCTCGACCTTAGATGCGATTCACAACCACATTGTACGATGCAGCCGACAGCTTACACTTTGGTAGATTAACTTAGACCTGCAACTGTTTTCCCTTTTTTGGGTCAAAGCATTACTTCAGGTCTCAAACAGGTTCGCGCAGGGGACCGGCGCCTCCTGGCCGAGGGAGCGACGAAGCAGCCTCGCCCGCGACCCTACGGGGCCTCCCCTCGCCTCCTGCTCCCTTCCGCCGCCCGCCGCTCCCCAGCCCCGCTGACCCGCTCGCCTGGGCCTCAGGGCAGCTCCGGGGCCGGAGAGTCCCGCTCGCGGCCTCGCCCGCGCCCCACTCCTCCCAGCCGCTGGAGACTGGGCCGCCCCCTGCCCCGCCTCCACGCAGCCCGGCTGCGCGAACCTCGCTCCCTTCCCTTCGGGCCCAGCTGCGCAACCGCGCCCGCGCGCCTTCCCTCAGGCCTACCCGCCCAGGAATCCA